GGACACCCCTGGGGACACCCTCAGGGATGGGGAACCCCCCTGGGGACTCCCCCCAGGGACACACTTGGGGACAGGGACACCTCTGGGGAGGGATGGGGATGGGAACACCCGCGGGGACGCATTTGGTGGCAACGCGGGGATGGGGACGTGTGTGGGGACACAGGTGGGGATGTCACAGGAACAGGGGCACGCTTGGCGACATCACAGGGACACGCTCGGGGTGCTGTGGGGACAGGGACATGCATGAGGACACGCGTGGGGACGTGGCAGGGATGGGGGGGGCACATGGAGACGTGCACAGGGCCGGGATGGGCACAAGGACATTGCACAGAGTGTGGGGACATGATGGGGACAAGGATGGGGTGTGCAACCCGTGTCCCACACACACCCCCCTTGGTGTCCCCACGTCATTGGCGTCCCCCTGCCCGTCCCCAACATCCCCCTGTCCCCACCTGACCCTGGTGTCCCCGCGGGACACCTGATGCGCTCGGACTTTGGCCACCAAGATGCGGACAATGCGCACGAACACCACGAAGTTCACCTGGGGGGACACAGGCACACGGGCAGTGACACACCCCCTGGGGCAGTGGGGTGAGCCGGACACTGCCCTGGGATGGCCCCCCCCCCCTGCTGTGTCACCCACCGCCACCGCCATCAGGATGGGACAGCGGATGATCCACCACACCGCAGCCTTCTCGTTCCTCTCCCAACACCTGGGGGAGGGGAGTGGGGGGGGGGGTCAGCCCGACACCTGGGTCCCCCGTTGGGGACATCACAGTGTCCCCCTGGGGGTGACAAAAAGGGGGGGGGGGGCGTGTCTGGCAGTCTCACCCCTCATTCTCATAGAGGTACCTCACCACCACCCACGGCACCACGAAGAGCACGGGGGCTCCTGGAGGGATGGGGAGAAGGTTGGGGAGGGGACATGGGGACACTTAGGGACACGTGGGAACACTTGGGGACACTTAGGGTCACGGGGATGGGCTCAGCCCAGCCGAGGAGGAGGAAGGCAGGGAGGCAGCGCTCGCCGGAGAAGGCGGCCAACACCAGGAGCTTGTGGAGGAAGAGTCCCTCGGCCAACAGCCACCCATAGTTGGCCCCCACGCAGTACTGGGTGAGAGCCTGGGCCAGCCGGCACCCTGCCACTGCCTGCCACGGGGACACCCGCACCACCACCGGGACACCAGTGTCGGGGAGGCACCGGCATCGGGGTGGCAACAGCGTCATGTTAGACCAGCATGGTGGCAGCACCAACATTGTGGTCGCACAAGCATTATTATGGTGGCATCAGCATCATGGTGGCGCCAACATCGTGGTGATGCCATCATTGTGGTGGTACCAACAGGGTGGTGGCACCAACACCGTGGTAGCACCAACATCACGGTGGCACGAACGTTGCAGTGACACCAGCATCGTGGTGGCACCAACATCGTGGTGACCCAAGGGCACCAGCACAGCCCATCGCCCCCCACCCTTGGGTACCCCCCATGAGTGTCCCCACCATGGGTGCCCACCTCCTGGCCCAGCAGCTGCAGTGGGTGCCCAGGGCCGGGGCGTAGGCGCCGCTGCAGCAGCGCGTCCCGCGTCAGGATGGCGCCCGCCCGCAGCACAAAGGAGAGGAAGAGGTTGGCGTGGATGAAGTTGCGGGTGCAGCGCAGGCGCCTGTGGGGAGGAGGGGTGGGGTGGCAGCGCCCAGGGGTGCCAGCGAGGTCCCGCGGCGCTGCGGCGCAGGTACCTGAAAAGCAGGAGCAGCAGCAGCGCCAGGAGGAGGGCGACCAGGGAGAGGGAGTAGCCCACGGTGTAGAGGAGGCGAAACTGCTCCAGCAGCCAGGCCTGCCGCTGCGGGGACAGGGACACGGGGACGGGGAGGTGGCACCGGGCACGGCACGGCATGGGGCGAGGGGGCATGGCGTGGCGCATGGCGTGTGGGACGGTGTGGTGCAGTGCAACGGGGTACGGTGCAACAGGACACGGCACGGGGCAACATGGCATGACACGGCGCATGGAACGTCACGGTGCGTGGTACGACGTGGTGCATCACGGCACAGTGCAACGCAGCACGGTGCAACATGGCATGGTGCAGTGCACGGCATGGCATGGGGCAACAGGATGTGGCACAGAGCAACACGGTGTGGCGCGGGGCATGGCACAACACACGCGGTGCAACACGGCTCAGCATGGTGCACAACACGGTGTGGCTCGGGGCACGGCACGGCATGGCATGAAGCAACATGGCATGGCACCGTGCAACACAGCACGGCACGGTGCATGGCACAGCACGGCACAGAGCAACAGGGCACAGCACGGAGGAACACAGTGTGGCACGGAATAACACGGCACAGCACGGAGGAACACAGTGTGGCACGGAATAACACGGCACAACACGGAGGAACACAGTATGGCACGGAATAACACGGCGCAGCACAGTGCACAGCACAGCGTGGGGTGGTGCAACGCGGCACAGTGCACAGTACGGTGCAACATGGCACGGCACAGCGCAGCACAGCAGCTCCCAGCGCAGCGCACGCTGCAGCACAGCCCAACCATGCGTGGCACGGCACGACGTGGGGTACGGCACGTGTCATCCCAGCACAGCGCAGCCCCCGGCACATGGCCCGGCACGGCACGGGGCACGGCACGGGGCACGGCACAGCGCGGCACCAGGGCAAGGCACAGGGCACAGCACGGGGCACGGCATGGCACAGTGCGGTACGGCACAGCACAGCGCGGCACAGCGCGCGGCACAGCGGCACAGCACTCTGCACAGCTCTGCACAGCGCAGCGCGGCACAGCGTGGCATGGCAGCGTGACGCATCCCAGCATGGCACAGCACCCCACGGCATGGCACAGAACAGCGTGACACCCCACGGCACGGCACCCCACAGCATGTCACCCCATGGCACCTCGTGGCCCCCACCTGCAGCGGCTGCTCCTGCGCCCGGTCCTCGCATTTCTGAAGGTGCCGGC